TGGATGTGAACCAGTCCAGCTGATGTGGACAACCCCTGTCTCTGCAACAAAGTCTACCGAAAGCCCCTAATGGGTTCCCCATTGCCTAAATTCCTTTTTTGCTTTTGACTAGCATTTCAACCTTCTGGGGTCCCTAACTTTGCCCCAAAGTCAGCAGGAAGCAGTTTGGGAAAGAATTCGATGCCCATTTTCCCTGGTTAAAATGCTAAGTCAAAAGGAACTCCCTTGCATGGGGATGCCAATATCTCTCACTCCCTGATGGGGGCACTAGAGAGACAGCAATTCCATGATTGGAATTTCCAAAAAAGAAAATGGGGGAATGAAGGGACCTGCTCCCCTTTCAGCAGCCATAACAGCCGAACACGTGTTGCCATAAATCTGCCTTGGTAACTTAGAGGTCAGATGCCTGTCTCGTGATAAGGAACCCATCAGAAGTTAGTCACTAGAAAGTCAGATGCCTGCCTCGTGACAAGGAACCAATCAGAAGTTAGCTGGTGGCGCTATGCTTTATGACTCTGGGTGTGCTTTACAGACAAGCGCAAAGCAATGACGTAGAGAGCATAGCAACCACCCTGGGAGGGCCTATGGGTCATAACAACCAGTTGACCAATCAACACAGGGCAAACCCTCCAATCCTGGAGGCACACCAATCCTGAACCTGTGCGTACCCCTAGACACTTTCCTTACGCTGCCCTATAAAGATCTGTATGCAGCGGCTTCGAACTGCCTTTTGCTAGCCATCCGCCATGGGGGGTGGGTGAAAGACCCGAGCTCACATGGGGTTAGCTTGTTAAATTACAATAAAGCCTCGTGCAGTTTGCAGCAAGCTCTCGAATCCGCCTGGTGACTGGGGTGACCGAAGTCGTGGCCTGGGACCCCGGATACCTGAGTTTTCCGGGGGTCTAACAGGGAGTTGGTTCTCTCCTTCCACCGTGAGTCCTGGGGATTGAACTCAGATCATGAGGCTTTACCTGCTGAGCCATCTTGCCAGCCCTTCTGATTCACAAATCCTCTCTCATTACCATGTCCTATTTCAGGAGGGTTCATGGTGATATTCCAGACACATGCAACCATATGAGAGAAAAGGGCCCAGTTACCTTTGTCAGAACCTGACAGCTGGATGCTGAGGTCCTTAAGCAACTGCTCTGTTTCCTCCAGCCAGGACAGGGACACTCGCAGGATGTCCACTACAGCCTTCTGAAGCCCCGACACCGGTGGGCTGAGCTGCAGGTGCTGAAGGAACCCCACCTCCTTCTTCAGGTCGCTGCTGCTGCAGGACTCCCTCATGCAAGCCTAGGGAACAGACAGGTCATGAGCAGACAGACCCAGCTGCTAGAAATGGCCCTGATGTGACCAACCTGTGAGAAATGAGAACTTGGATTTGTCCAGGAAGCTGGCATGGCAGCCCATTCAGTTTCTTTTGGCAGCTTTTATTTTCTCCCACTTTAATTTGGTCTTGGAGTGTGTGTGTGTGTGTGTGTGTGTGTGTGTGTGTGTGTGTGTGTGTGTGTGCCTTGAGACAGCACCTCTCAGTGAACCGTCAGCTCACGGTTTCAGCTAGGCTGACTAGTCAGTGAGCTCTTGGGATCACTCGCCTGTCTTTGCCCCCCAGTGCTGGGTTACAGGCACTTGCAGCCATGCCTGTCTATCTTATATGGGTGCTGAGGATTTGAACTCAGGTCTTCAAGCTTGCACAATGAGCACACTTACCCACTGAGTCATCTCCCCAGCCCCTCTTTTGATACACAGGGATCTCCTTTTAAGGCTGTGTAATGCTAAATTGCTACGTCAATCTGTCTGACGTGAGACCCAAATCTGGCTACTTTGAGTCATCAGAATTCCTGTCAAGATCAACGCACACGCTGGACAGAAAGTGCGGTTTCCTGACTTGTTTGAAAGAGTGCTGACAAGTCAACATTTGCGAAAAACTCCCTAAATAGTAACTTCTGATTGCAAGAGAAAGCAGAAGCAGCTGTGTGTTCTGACATGCTCAGCGTGGGGCACCAAGGGGCACACTGGGCCTTTGTCCTGCCTCTTCTAGAGGGGAAGGAGGAGCTGAAAATAGCTTTCATTGCGGGGCCAAGAATGAAGATTTTCAATAGAAGCATCTCTGTCTCCGTCTCTTTCTTGTGTGTGTGTACATGCGTGTGTGTGTGTGTGTGTGTGTGTGTGTGTGTGTGTGTACGTACATGTGGTGTGGAGGTCTGACTCTCAGGTGTGGCTTCTCAGGAGCCATTCATCTTGTTTTCTGAGCCCGGGGGGCCTGTCATTGGGTAGGGTAGCTGCCTGGCCAGTGAGCCCCAATAATACATCTGTCACCACTGTGCTCAACTTTTTTATGTGGGTTTTAGGGCTCAAATTCAGGCCCTCATGCTTGCACAGCACCCGTTTTACCAACTGAGTGGTTTCCCCAGCTGTCATTTCTCTCTCTCTCTCTTTTTAAATTCCAGAGCCGGGGACTTCCCAGAGTTGGTACAGTCATCTCCTTCTATCTGTGGGGAATTAATTAGTTCCAAGACACTGATGCCAAAATCTGAGGAAGTTCAAATCCCTTAGTAAGGGACATGACATTTGTATACAACTTACACACATCCCTCTGTATACTTTAAATGGCCTCTAGGCAACTTGCAACACCCAGCACAACGTGTGTGCTAGGAGAACCACGACAAGAAAATTGTCTGAGTGGAGATGAAGTTCCATGGTACAGTTCTTGCCCACTGTGCCCGAGGCCGAAGCTTTCATCCCTTGTACAAAAGCAAATGGCCCACCCTGAACAAAATCAAGACCTCTCTGGTACATGGCTGACTTTTGGGGTGTGTGTATGCAGACTAGAGGTCAATGCCGGGGTCTTCCTCAACCACTCTCTATACCTTGCTGTGAGGAAGCATTTGGTGTGTCTGAGATAAGGGCTCATGAAATCCAGGCTGGCCTCCACCTTCTTGGGTAAATGAGAATTGAACTTGATCCCAGAGCCTCCATGCCCCGTCCCCCAAGTACTGGGATTATAGGCCTGCCTCAGCATGGCCAGCTTTTTGTGGTGGTGTGGATCAAACCCAGGGCGTCACGAATGCCAGGGCTTAGCTACACATTCCCTGCCCCAATTATTATTATATTATTATTATTATTATTATTATTATTATTATTATTATTATTTTACAGTGTTTCTCACTGAACCTAGAGCTAGATTATTTGGCTAGATTGGGTGTCAAACAAGCCCCCAGGACCTCAGCTTCCCCAAGCACTAGGGCTACAGGCTTGTGCTGCCCCCCCTTTTCAT